GGTTAATAGTAATATTTTAAATCAAGTAAGTACATGATAAGCATTGTCATAAACGTTTGCTGGACTAAGCCAGTTTGACCAGCGATGCGAATCAAATTATGCCAAAGGGCTAATGGAAAATTATGCTAAATTCTGCCAAATTAAAAATTTTCAATAAGCGCAGACGCCTGAATTGAAAGCAAAATACTATACTATTACAATACTATTCTGTCCAGGGATGCCACATGATCGAAGGGAGATCTGCAGTGGCATATCTAGGGAAGTGCGGAGGAGGGGGACCACCAAAACACTCGCCCCGCACTCCCCTCCCCATTCACCCTAGCCCCCCCCCCCCCGGTCCCTCCTAACATTTTACCTTTCCCCTCATTTTCCCAGATTTCAGACGCTGGCTACGTCACTGATCACTTAGGCCTGTAAATTCTGTCTCTCAGTCAGTGAGGTCTATAATGACGAAGATCCGAAGAGAAATTCGGACCGCGTTTCCTCTCGGATGCGCTGAGTAAGCGTCCCATATTCTTACACATTTATTCAATCTGATCGGTAAGGTTTACGGTAGCCTTTCTGATCTGAAAATTTGGATCCGGTGTAATGGTAATGGTAATGGTTGGAGACTTATAGCGCAACAAAAAAAAAGAAAATAAAATCTATTCTAGAGGGTCACCTAAGCGAACCAAGCTAAAATAAACAACCGAAACAGACTAACGCAGAAGGAACCAACACGTACTATCGCACCGTTCACCTGCAATTTGAGCAGACCACCGACAAGCGCCGCGGTGTGAATGCACATTAAGACTAAAGACAGTCAGTATCTATAAGCGCGCTGTAGAACAAGATTAAAATATTTTTATTATCAATATTTTCTTACGGAAGCGTATTGCTGCTAACGTCAAAATATGTTTTACCCTTATCTCGTATGTAGGAGAAAGGGCCTATTAAGTCGTAGACTACGTACGAGATGCCTAATATTTCGTACGTATCCTGACTTAATTATCTCGTACGTACGAGATAATGACAAAAAAATATTTTGGCGTTAGCAGCAATACGCTTCCGTAAGAAAATATTCATTATAAAAATATTTTAATCTTGTTCTACAGCGCGCTAGAAATTTTGTATTTTGCGCCGCTTTTACAAATTAAAAACCGTTTCAACGAACGAACTCAAAGAGGGCGCAATATCATAACCGATGACTGACCGATTGATGCGTCAATACTGGTTGAAAAACTATTCCTAAATGCATGGCCAGTGGGAACAAGGACAAGGGATGATATACACTCAGTGGAGCGGGCCAGGGAAAATCATCTCTTGCCGGAGAGAAAAATACACTTCGTAGGGGAGAGGAAAAATTACACATTTTTTACATTTAAAAAAAAAAAAAAAATTTGGCATTTGAAACACCTAAAGTGGGAGTCAGTTACCCACCTCCCCGTGTTGGGCATTGGACCCCGTCGGGCAAATCATGGTGCTACTCCTGTCATCAGTGGAACCGGACAACAATTAAAGCTTTGTAGGGTTTTACTTGAAGCCGTTGTGGTTTGGATGATGGAAAAATTATTTAATAATAAACATAGCCTATTAAAGAAATAAAATATTACCTATCTATCTCAAGAGAGAGATAGCTATTGCTAAACACAGAACCTCTGAACTTTGGGTTTTGTGTTCCAATACAGTATCTTATGATGGGCTCTCGGGGAGGGGGATTCGCCCAGCCCCCAGTCCAAATGGGGCCCAGAAAGTTTCTTTATATAAACAGGACTCTTCTAACAGAGCCTTAAAACTATATGACAAAAATGAAATAAATGAAAATAATATAGGCCTAGTCCAGTTGAAGACATTCAAAACTAGCAAATTTAAACAAATACCACGTTTTTAACTCACGAATGTCCTAAGTGGACTCACACGAAAACACTTCTATTATAGGCCTACAATATATTATCGTATTTTAGACCAATATTTCACAGGCGAACTACTATAACACAAGCCTACACATTTAGGCGGGCGGCGTTCCCGAACGATATGACTTTTCAGAGGGTTGGTTTCTGTCCTTCACAGACGGTAGAGGGGGTGTATCCAGGATTTTGTCTGGGTGGGTCGTGATCATAATTTTTGGACCTTTTCACAATGGAATAAAGGCAAGTTGTGATTAAAATGTCAATACATGCTTGAAGCGGATGGCAGGCTCAGTTTCAGAATTGCTGGACTTGAGATAGATTACGTCACGCAATTGTAAGGTCTTTGGATTCATTGCTGGTACCTCATCAATGCTTTTTCATTTATGTCATTGTGAAAAGGCCCTAGAAAAAATGTCTTTGGAAAAAATGTGGACCTTTGAAAATTTTGGAGAGCCGTACGACCTTTCCGACCGCCCTTTGCATACATCCATGGTATTGAGGTCTTCCAGTTAAGTGTCTACTACAAACTTACATTTAAATACTCCGAAATCATGAAGTGAAGGTGTCTATTAGAATTCAAATTATCGTAATATACGCGTGAATACGCGTAATACCCTAATCGACTACTAAAATGCTGGGTTCCCCAACACTCTATCCCCGTGACTGGTTATTACGCCACTGATAATAATTTATTACCAAACTGTTTAAAGCTCTTGTGTGTCCTCTCTTTGTTGTCCCAAAGTTGTACCTCTTCCAAAAAAAAAAATTGGTTTGTGTGAGAATCGAACACACAACCTCCAGGTTTGCTATTCATTATCCACCATCAACTAGGCATGGTGGATAATGAATAGCAAAACCTGGTGGTTGTGTGTTCGATTCCCACACGAACCATTTTTTTTAAAGGCAGTTTAGTTGATGGTGGATAATGAATAGCAAACCTGGTGGTTGTGTGTTCGATTCCCGCACGAACCAATTTTTTTTTTTTTGGCCCGACGTCGGTAAACGTTTGAAATGTACAACCTCTAACCAACGTCGGCCCAACTCTTGTCACCAACCTCCACTGAAGTTTACCGACGTCGGGCCAACAAAGTACCGTAACGTTGGGACAACGTCTATAATCACATCCTAATATTTATTACAAGATCTTACCAACGTCGGACCAACAGTTATAACCAACCTCCATTTCAAACGTTTACCGACGTCGGGCCAATTTCATACTGTGACGTTGCGACCACGTCTATAATCACATCTAATATTTACAACCTCTAACGAACGTCGGCCAAACGGTTGTAACCAACCTCCGTAATAATTAGACGTTGTCGCAACGTCAAAGTACCTTGTTGGCCCGACATCGGTAAACGTTTGAAATAGATGTTGGGTACACTACCGTTGGGCCGACGTTTCTTAGAGGTTGTAAATATTATGTATGATTATAGACGTTGTC